TGTGTGCTCGTGCGTGTGTGTGTGTGTGTGCTCGTGCGTGTGTGTGTGTGTGTGTGTGTGTGTGTGTGTGTGTGTGTGTCACACGCCCGGATTCTTCAGGCTTACGGTGTGTGTGTCTGTGTGCGCGCGCCGGTGCTTGTGTGAACGCGCGAGTGGATGCGTGTGCGAGGGGTACTATATGTGGAAGCCTCTCACTGCGGGGTGACGAGTAGTGAGTAGAGTGCAGGCAGCAGCAAGCAGCAGCAAGCAGCAGCGAGAGCTTCGAAATATAGCACCCCTACCGGGGTAAGGCAGGGGTTCGGTTCCAACTGCAGGTCAGGTTCACATGATGTCGCGGTCCGTTTGGGTGAAAATTTAAATTGAACAAGAAAAAACGGGGGAGGAAGTGTCCATCTTACATGACAGAAAAAGGGCCTGGCCACACCACTCTCGAAATGTGAAAAAGACAAAAATGTGGCGGGCGCATCTGGCCATGTTCTAGCGGGAAGTTCATTCTGATTTTGCAGATTTCGAGACTGGTGTGGCGATTCCCAAAGAAAGAGCAATGGCCAGTCACTGCACCTCCGCCTACGCCCCCCCCCCCGCATTGCGGGGTCTAATGGCGCTAGCACCGCCGATTTCCCCGATAGGCAACGCCTGCCCACCCCTCGTCACCGTGATGAGGGACTGGTACAGCCTTGCGTTGGCACCACAGCTGTGGTGCCAACCTACCCTGTTGGCTGGGGAGAGATCCGGGGGATTGGTTGGTGTTCCCCCGTCCTATACATAGACCAGTGAGAGGATGAGATAGGGGCTCGTTCGACACTCCTCGGGGGCCGAAATCCCCCCAGGAAATCGTCGTTCCACTTGTCCTCGGGGGAAAAAAATTAAAAAAACCATGACCGGGATTCCTCAGGATTTCCTCGGGGATTCCTCGGGCTACAGGCAATTTTCATTTTTCCCCAAGGAACCTCCTGTAGGATCCTCGGAGCTCCCCCATGTGGAAGAACAGGGTCTTCGACGGCACCTCAATCGACTTCTTTTGTCGGCGGGTTCTGGTCTGTCGGTGGTCCAGGCGACTTGCGCACGGACATGTTGGGTCGCCAACGTTCAAGCGGCCCGATGTCCACGCCAACGGTAACCGTTTGTGGGCCGGTAGCATCCCCAAGGTGCACACCGCGGTGCACCTTGGGGTTGGGCTTCAGCCAAAGCGGGAAACCGCCCAACAGTCGGCAAATGCGAATATTTGAGGCGGCACAGCGCATCCACTACACGACGGCTTCCGTTTGTCGCCAAGCGCATATCGCCGTCTGCAGATATCTTGATGTTATGTTGTCGCCCGTGTTGTCTTCCGTCTAGTGCCGTTGTCGTCATCCGGCTAATGGCTGACGTCTTTCGCCAGCTGCCGCTACTGCTTCCCGTCGTCTTTTTGCTGGTCGTCGTCGTAGTGTTTCACGTGTGTTTCCTCGGGAACGCGCCGCGGCGTCGACGTAGACGAACTTTGCCGATGAAGCCCGTCAGGACGGATTCACGACAGGGATCCCCCAGGGGAGGAGGGGAGCAGGTAGTGAGTAGGTGTGTCATTGGAAGTTCTTCTTCGGTTTGTAGGTTGTCGCTGGGGGTCGGCAATTCTGCATTGCCCCCGCATTTGCAACCCCTCCCAGACTCATCTGATGAGGAGGAGAGGGAGGGACGGGCACGCACTGTTCCGTTGGGTAGTGGATCTACGCAGGAATGGGCTTGGACGGAGCTGTGCGGTGGCAGTGTCGGCGTGCACGAGCAGTCCTTCACTGAACTGCTGCGGCCGGGTCTCGACGGGGAAGAACGACACGGCGGAGTGAACCTCTCTTCCGGTTTGTCTACAGGGAGGTGTGGAAGCCAGACGCGCACAGTGATTGCCAATCCCCATCCCGACGACGACGGCGGGCAGTTAACCGTTGTGGACCGATCATTGAAATCCACCGGTGCGCAGCAGTGGCAGGGACGATCGACTTCCATCTCCAGGAGCGCGCAGGGTCGCCCACATTTCATGCAGTCACTGTCTCCGGTGTCTGCTGCGTCCAACCTAGGACGTCGACGTGGCATTGTTGTGGAGGGGGGGGCAACTTGGACGACGTCGGCGACGACCGCGACGGGAGGTTGTTGTGGGCGGAGCAACGACGGGAGCTGAGGGAGGGTCGAGAGGAAGCAATCAGGCGGAGGGTGGAGCGTCTGAGGATGGACAGGCAGGCGGAAGAAGTTGAGGAGCCAGATGCGGGGCTTCCGTCCGAAGAAGACGACGACGAGAACAAAGGAGAAGGAGGGGACGGGAACGGGGTTCACGCCTCGCCATCAGAGAACAGCGACATGGGTGGGAAGGGCGGCAAGACGCAGGCGAAAAGCGGGAATGGTCGTGGGCGGCCGAAGAAAGCACAAGCAAAGCCGAACGACGGTGAGGCAGAGGAGAAGCGAAACTTTTGGAGTGTCGAACATATCATCGCCCTCATACGGGCGAAACGCGATCAGGATGTGCACTTGCAGGGGATGGGCCACGCGTACGGCCGGATGAAGGCGAGGAAGTGGAAATGGAATGACGTCGCCAGAAGATTGAAGAATGTCGGTGTGGAGTGGAAGGCAGAGAAATGCGGAAAGAAGTGGGACAACCTCATGCAACAACTCAAGAAAGTTCATCATTTTCAATCGTCGTCCGGGGGAATCGACTTCTTCCAGTTGAGCGCGAAGGAGAGGGCGAGCAAGGGCTTCAATTTCAACATGAATCGCGTCGTTTACGACGAGATTGAAGGGTTGACCGGTTTCAACGAAACCATCAACTCGAGAAACGTTGCAGACACTGGTGCCTCTCGCGGTGTGCGTTTGCCGTCCACGTCGAATGGTGATCCTGAAGCAGTTGGTGATGCCGACGCCGGTGCAGGGGGAGACGATGAGGAGGAGGGATCGACTCGTGGTTCTTCCCAGACGACGGGCAGCCCTGGTGCGTTTGGAAAGAGGAAGAGCACGCGGCAGCAGACGTTCGAGGCAATGACCGATTGCATGGAGAAGCACGGTGCGTTGATGGCGGCCACGATGGAGAGTGCCAGCRAGCGGCAATGCAGCATTCAGCTACGAYAAWGTGAGGCATTAGAAGMTGAAGTGCAGGTGCAGAAGACGCACTACGCCGCGTCCGATGAAGTCARCAAASTCATGTGCCATGCGTTGTTGGAAATAGCAAAGGCTATTCGCGAGCGATAGAGTTTGTAGGCATTSTGTTGTGTACYAGTGGCGCCGTGRAATGTAGTAGTCGGTTGACAGTTGGTGGCTTCCCGTTGTACTCGGCTTTGTCGGCAAGGTGTCGTCTTCGTTTCGTGTATGTTTCGAGTGTTGTTTTAGGACGGTTGGGCACATCGGTCGCCCGCCTTTGTGATTGTTTACTCAGTGGTGGTTCGAGATGGGTAATCCCGTCATTCAATTGAATTCAATATGAATTTGGAAAGTGTAGAATGCACTTACCGTTTGTTTTAAATTGTTGTGCTTCAATCCCTCGCACTGCGATTGTTTTTATTGTCTCAGATAAATGTCTCTGTGTGCGTGTGTGTGTGTGTGTGTGTGTGTGTGTGTGTGTGTGTGTGTGTGTGTGTGTTTTCGGTCTGACACACACACAAACAAACGAGCTATGAAAGGTTTTTGTGTTTTGTATAAAATGATTGCAACCAAATTTGCATTTGCATTTGCAGTTTTTCCGGGCGTCTTGTGTTGTAGTCGGCGTATGATGTGGTTGGAGAGTGTTGTCCATTCGTGTGTCGTGTCAATCGTGGGAATCGACCTGCATGGCGTCTTCAATGATGTTCGGAGAAACTTTGTAAGCAGTCTGAAAAGGCCGTCTTCAATCGGATTGCATGGTTTACGACATGGTTATCGTGCCCTGAACTCCGTCGTCCACTCACATTTCATTTTATTGTTCCTTTTTTTTTGGTTTGTTTGATAATCGTGATGGGAGTGAAGTTTTTCAAATTTTTACCTCCCCCATAGTTCAATTGTTTTTCGGAAGTGTTTAGAGGGCGTGCATTCGTAGGGACGTCGTCTTCCGTTGTAGACATTTTTTGCAGTGTCGTGGCATTCGTGATGGAGACAGGGATGGGCGGAGGTAGACGGGGTTCGGATGGTGCCTCTTGGAGAATTTCAGGGGGAGGGGAGGGGTGTACGGCGGGCGGAGTGGGGGTTTGGCAGAGTGGGTTTTTTTTGGATGGGGGATGGTGTCCCGCGATGTCGTCTTTTTTGCTCATTGGTTGTCTCGTCGCCCTATGCAAGTGGGTACGACGGTTGAGTGCAGTCCGCCGTGTTGTGGGAAAAACAAACGTACTGGCGACGTCGAAACGGCAGCGCGCCATCAGTCCTACCCTTCCCCCACGACCACCATTTTCTAATAAGTACCGCGCAATCGCCCCACTCTGTAGTCATCCGAAAGCGTGCGTATTATCTTCACGTCGCCTGGTGAAGGACTCGCAGGACATCTTGTCGCCCCCCCTCCCCCGACCTCTTTTATGCGCGCCTCCATCACATTTTCTGCCCCGGCCTCTTTCATGCGCGCCTCCATCACATCTTCCCACCGCCTTTATTTTCGCCTCCATCACATCTTCTCGCCGCCTTTATTTTCGCCGCCTTCATTTTCACGTCCATCACATCTTCTCGCCACCATCGCTGCTCGATCGCCGTGTATGGCGAGCGCCGCCATCTAATCTTCTCGCCTCCTACGGCATTACCCGCCATCAACCGTCTTCTATGTGCGCCGCCATCTGATCTTGTCGCTGCCTGGTATTTCTGGCAGTATAACCACCGACAACCTTCTCTATTGCGCGTCGCCATTGCATCTTCTTGCCGCTATCTATTTTCGCCGCCATCAAGCACCACTCGCCGTGTGGTCCTGCGCACCGCCTGAAGATCTGCTCACCGCCATCTCTAAGGTCGACGGATCGACGTTTTTCTTACGCGCCTTCCATTCCATTGTGCACACAGGAAACATAGTGTCTTCTCGCGCCGTTGCATGTGGGAGAGGTGTTGGGAAACAAGTAACGGAAGGCGAGCTTGTACCGAAGAAAGGTCGACACGATCTCGCGAAGAGAAGAAGGGGCGTCCAAGGCGGGAAAGGCGTAGTCGGACGGGAGGTCGAGTCAGATTGGGTGGATGAAGAGGAGAGATAGGAGGAGGACGCCAGCTTCCAAGAAGAAGAGGAACAGACTCTTAAGAGGAAAGTTAAGCTGAGAACGGGGGGCGCTATGCGGATCGAAGTGGGGGGAGGTGACGCAGCAGAGGTGGCTCATGATCAGCCGCAGACGCCATCGAATAAGCAGAACCAACAGCCTGTTGGCATGGCTAGCAGTTCCTAGGCTGTGATCGACGTGTCTGCGAAGCGATCCACTGCGCCGCAGCCGCGTGGGGAGGCAGTTCCGGTAGTGCGCGAAGTGGCGGACGGTGCGAAGGCGGGCGATGGCGGGGCGGTCGGCGAAGACGACGAAGCCCTAGTGAACAAGCTGCGCGGGCAACGTGCAGAGGCGAAAGCGATGGAGGTTACCGCGAGGCTATGGACCGACGACATTCGCTTCTGGAATGATACGCGGGGACACAAAATCATCCAGATCATACATGAAGCCCGAGTTTACCTCGTTGACGTAGCGACGGGAGTGCAACCATCGATGATCCGAAGGAGCATCAACCTCCCCCATAGTTCAATCCCGCAGAAGAAGATCGAAGACGGGTCGGAGTTGAGGGCGGCGAAGGAAAGGGCGTTAAAGGTGGGGAACATTGCGAAGAGGGCGATCCACGGCTGGATTTTCAAGTCCGATAGCAGACACAAGGGGTATCACTTGGCGTACCAGTACGCCTTGAACCACACGGCGACAGACATCGCCAGAGTGATGTGGGTATCGGAGGACTGGCGTTCGTTAGTCAGCCCGATGGTGATTCGTAACACGCTGGAGTTGGGTATGGAGCTCCCTTTGTGGTTCGTCGGAGCGAATGTGGTGGACAGGCACCAGGACGACGAGTGCGCGACTTACCAGGAGACCATCGCTCAACGTTTGGTGTGCGATTTCAACAATGTGGTGGAGGCGGCGCAGGTGATGGACTCGGGGCGTGTTTCTTACGAGCGGCTGAAGTCCCTGGCAGAGGCGATGAGATATTTGCTGGCAGCGGCGGTGTGGATAATGAGGATGGCTGAGGACGACTCAAGATCGCACTACGACTCCTGGGTTTTCGTGCAGTTGACGGCGAAGACCACCCTTCTTGCTTCCATGGATCGCCATTTTGACTCGCGTCGTCATGTCTTGCAAGCCGCAACTGTCATGACAGACAAACTGGGAAGACCGCCTCCGACCTTCGCTCCCCCCCCACTATACATCCCCGACTGGGCGTCCAAGTGCGGCGTCACGTTCAATCACGATGCGACTTTGTCCTCCCCGATGGAAGCGACGAAGATGGAGTGGATCGACATAGGCCCCCCTGAGGAGGAAGACGACGATGACGAAGATGTTGATGGCGCCGAGGGTGGGTGATAGTGGGAGTCGAAGTCGAAGGATTGCCGGCGAGGGTGGGTGATAGTAGGAGTCGAAGACGATCGTTGGCGGCAGGGTTTTTGTGTCTTCTACACCCACACCGCCGACGATCCTTAGGTTTGAAGTGCACATACTTTGCATCGTTTGGTGTCTACTCATTAGGTTTTGCAGCGGACGACCGTGTATTTCATTTTCTGATCGTCCTTCACATTCCCTTTTATCTGAGTTGTCGACCTCCATTCGTTGTGGAATTTGACGAAGCGGAGGCTTCGGTTCTGTTCTCTGATTCGTCAACCATGATTTTTACGCGCTCATTATGATTTTAACGTGTCGTCAAACGGTGTTCTTCTTTTACATTCAAATAATGGGGCTCGTCTACTGTGTGGGCGATGGGACATGTGTCTTTCTTTTGGGGATGTGTTCACTTGATGGGGATCACTACAAAATGGACGGCAGGAAGTACTCATGTTAACCCGATTTCGACGACCATCACTTGCGCCTTCAACAAACAATCATTGCGTGCATTATTCCATGAAAAGATGGATTGTCCGTGTGTTTGATGTGAGGACGAACGGAGTTTGTAGTATATTGTTTTGTAATCTCCATGAAACGATGTGTTCGTTGATGAAGGTGGCACCGTGCATTCAAAGGAATTTCATTACAAAGGTTTACACGATTTCACGCCAACAAACATGAAAAAAAATAAAAAAATTAACGAAAGGTCCAGCATTCGCACATTATGAACGCACACACACACATACACACACACACACACACACACACATACACACACACACACACACACACGCGCGCGGACACACACACGCTGGCCTAAGCGCAAAAAACGTCAGACAAGCTTATGACAACTTAGTGAACGAAAAGACATTGCAAAATGATGACTGCATTCGACATCGAAAGACCACTCAACGGAAGAAGATTATCAAATAAAGAAGAAGCCTTCAAAAAACTTCAATAACAAAAGTTCAAATGAAAACAAGATTGCAGCTCAAACGCCGTCCATTGCACCCCCCCTCACCCCCGTCGGGCCCCGACTGCCTAGCCTACGACTTCACGTCATTCAACCTACCACCTACTTAATTCTTCTACACTACTTTGCGGAACACCATCAACGACTTCCGCACGGCGATGATCACTATGAAAACGAACCTTCGGCGAACTTCGTCGAAGGTTTGTGCAACCACTTGTGTTGGTAAAACAACATAGGTCCACAAATGACGACAGTGTTAAAATCGTATACCGGAAACGGCACTGATGACCAACCATCCACGACACGACTGCGACACGCGAACAGGAAGAAGACAACCTGGCGGATGAGTGCTTCGAACACCCCCGGGGAAGAAAGCACATTGTGCTTGACGACGACCAAATTAACTTCCGGACGACAGCAAACTGGGAGGGCCTCGTTACCGTCTTCGCTAAGCACCTCCAATGGACACGGGAGGGCGCACCTCCCCATCGTTCCTTGCGCATCATCTCTCCAGTGCCTCCCCGCTTCAGTCTGCTCCGATATCTCGCCACATTTCGACCCTCTTCGACTCTCCACTTCCATAACCACCCATCCTCACTGCGCACCCATCCTCTCCGCTAACACATCCCTCAGAATCAGTGCGTCACCGGTTGACGACTCCATGCAAACAAAACGCAGCGGCGCATGCATACCGAGATCCACCCTGCGTCGGACGCCATCCGGTCCGACCTCCCACAAAAGATTGTCGTCGAAGGGAATGCCTGCGTCGATCAATATGTTGTGGAGGATGCACACAGCGATGAACTGTTGCGGCAACGTGTCCATGTTGCACTTGTGCGTGCGCAAGAACAACCTCCACATGCCCTTCAATCTTCCAAACGCCCTCTCCACCGCTCCCCTCGCCGTTTTCTGCTTGTTGTCGAACCGTGCCTCTGTGGGGTGCTGCGCGAGACCTCCATAAGGGACGACAATCCATTCCGACTGGGGATAGCCGTTGTCGCCGAGCAAGTATCCATTCGTTCGGACAGCGAATGGCAGCATGACATGCGGGTCAGTGAAAAGTTGTCCAGACTCCGCGCGCTCTCACAAACTGGACAGATGTAGTAACATCCTCATGTCATGCACGCTGCCAGGGTAACCCACGAAGACGTCCAGTACACGCAAATTCATGTCGACCATAACCTGCGCCTGCACAGAGAATCGCCTCTTCCGATCACAGTAGTTCTCCCCGTTTGCGTTGGCCGGTTTGTCGACGTAGATGTGGGTGCAGTCCATGCACCCATGGCAATTTGGAAAGCCCTTGTCTGCAAACGCTCGCAACACGACCGCCTTCTGCAAGCCTGTGGGCCACGAAATCTTGTCCGGGTACGCAGCAAGCAAGGCGGCGGTAACGTCTCGCACCGTCTTGATGCCAGAAGCCCTCCCGATGCCGAAGCTGCACGTTCCGTTGTTGTATGTCTCACCCGACACCCACCTATAGAGAGCGTACGCCACGATGTGGTCAGGCTGCAAAGGCACCCTGTAAAACGTCACACGCCGTTGCAGGTATGGAGAAAGCGTTTCGGTGATTTCGCGGAAGACACGTGGCAACATTCAGAGCTTGTCTCTGAAGTACTCGTCTGTGGCATCGTCGCATTGCCGCAGGTCCTCCCAGGTGCCTCCCGTCTGCCGCTTCATCCACCAACGTGGAGTTGCCCTCGGGAATGCACCGCTCCCCATCACGTAGCACACCTGGAGGACGGCGTCGGAAACTGCACCCAAGTCCAAGCCTTCACCGCTGCTCGGCAGCGCCGTCACCTTCCGTCGCACACGAGCAGCTGCTTTCATCTTCCCCGCGGTTCTCTCCACTTCACAACGATAGAGAACGACATTGACGGCCGCAGTGATAGCCGTCCTCTCATCTGTCGTCAATGCACCACCCCGGACACCGCCGTCAATAACCATCCCTGACGCCTCTTCCATCCACGACAGCGAACCGACGACAACTGCCAAAACTCCGCACACACAGCCACGTGGAACGACGATATCCCGCGTCGCTAAAAAAATGTGGACGCCACCAATGCCGACGGCGATAAGCTGCGACGATGGCGACCTTAAACGCCGACAACGTATGGTCGTACACGGGAAGGCATGTGCATACTCTACAGTCGAAGGCACTCAAATGGGCGTGTCATATGGACACGCCCACGGCCGCCACCCCCCCGCGCCCTAATCCGCACGGCTGGCGTCCGTCGCCCGCTTCCACTCGCACGCGCAAATTTCGAATTCCTCCCTTGCGCGCCTTTGGGAAGCCCCTAATTTTTTTTCCTGAACGCCGTTCTTGCACGGCGGCCCAAAAAGCTGGACCACACCAATCCAGATGGACACAATTGAAGACAGGTCGTGGTACACACATCCCGCGGTCGGTAATACGTATATAAATCTGGCCGCGGGAGCCCGGAGGAATCGTCCTCGGGGGACGACTCCGAGGATGAGTGGAACGAAGGCGTCGAAATCCCCCAACGACTCCGAGGAATCGTCCTCGGGCCCCGAGGAAGCCCCGAGGAGTGTCGAACGAGCCCAATAGATGCGTACTACCAAGAAAGATGAAATAGGTTGTTGTGCTACGGGTGCGTTAGCGTTATTGTTCTGCGCTATTCTTGAGGGTACTACCGGGGACGGTATTGTAACTTTCGAAGGTGAGGGCGATGAGGCGGCATAATTCGCTTCTCTCTGTTTTTTCTGTTTGTTTGTTATTTTCGTTTTTCTGCCTTCTGTTCCTTTTGTTTTCCTCTGTTCCCTCTGCTGCGTCCCCGCCGTGTGCTGTTTTCCCTGGTCTTTCCCCGCTTTCAGGCTGGGCTGTTTACCCCTGCCCTGTTCAAGCCTATGGCCGCGACAGACGTTTTGAGGATTAGATACGGGAGTGGCCAGGTATTATGAGTCAAAAAGGTAAGGGATGCCGGGATGGGGCCTGTCTATCTGTTTTATCCTACGGGACGCTGAACCCGATTCTCAACATAAATTTCTCAGTACATTCTCAGGGAAGAGTTTAATGGTTAGAAAAGACACAATAGGCGCCATGAGGATAGTAGGCAGATGGCAAGGGCTAGAAGATGGAGGGAGACTCCACTGGTGCCCCCCGGTGTTTCCTCCCCCAATACCCGACCCTGCTGCAGGATGGGTACAGAAGAGTAGACTGGAGATGGGATGCTGGGCCCGGTTTCCAACACAATGGCGTCACTTTCAAGATGTACTGTTTTGTACAAGATGTATTTAAGGGACGCTGGACCCGGTTTCCAGTAGGTGTTGCGCCCCACCAATAGATGGAGCGGCCCGCCAGGCAAAGCCTCAATCCCGGTGGTTCTCTTACCACCACCAGGATAGAGGCCTTGCACAAGGGCCTTCCTTGAAGAAAAAAAAAAAGAGGTGGCGTAGGTGGATGAACACGGACCAGTATCCTCGAAAATTTCGAGGATTTGGTATGATTCTCCCTTCTCACGACACTTGTGGTGGGTAAGTGCCTCCTATGGAATACCAGGGGTCAGAGGGAATCCCGTCGGCCATGGACACGCTACTTGGATGCGGGTTATAGTGATGGAGGAAGACCGGACAGGAGAACGACCAAGCTTTGGTTTGACCTGGTTTTTTTTTTTTTTATATAAAGAAAGCTTCATCTATTGGTGGGGAGCAGCACCTGCTGGAAATCGGGTCTAGTGTCCCATAGATACAACCATATCCTCGCTAATTGGCACAAACTGGGAACCGGTCCTAGCGTCCCATAACGAGTACATTCAGAAAAAGTCATCAGAAAATTCCATGAAAATGAAACAAGGAACTACTAGAAAATGAAAGATATCTCCCACCTTTCAGCTCTTTCCCCACATCGCAGAGGAAAGATTAATGCCCAGGCATTCAGTCCTCGGCCAGAACACGCAAGATCTCATACCCCCCTGCGCTAGGGTAACAGAGCAACACCAATTGCCCCAGTATCTCATACCCCCCTGCGCTATGGTAACAAAGCAACACCAACTGCCCTTGTACCAACCGACTGAGCTTGTTCTAGCAGATCGGAAGTGTCATCCTCCCTCGACAACTTCCCTAGCTGCACAGCCCCCAGGTTACAGGGTCACTGCCTCGGCTTCAACTACGTTGAGCGAAGTAGTTATTCCCTCCTTCAGCAAGTTCCAATGGTCTCAAGCTCCACTGGTTACAGAGCATGAACTCACTGCTCCAGCACCGACCATTGTCATCCCACCCCGCCCTTCTACATACCTACCACCCTAGCCATCAATCCACCTCTGCACCATGCACACCCTACTCAAACCAACCTCCCCGCACTTACGAAATTCAAAAAATTTTAAGAAACTCATACAAAAATCAGACAAACTTTGCAGCACAAACTAGAACCCGGCTTCAGCTACGTTGAGCAAGGTAGTTATGCCTTCCTTCAGCAAGTTCCAATGGTCTCAAGCTCCTCCTGGTTACAGAGCGTGAACTCACTGCTCCAGCGCCGACCATTGTCACCCCACCCCGCCGTTCTAACCCTAGCCACCAAT